AATCAAGATACTCATGTAAAGGTACAAGATCCCAATGATGAATGTAACTGTATTTTATACCTAAAATGTACCAATAAACTTAATGGGGGAAAAAAAGAGCTACATCCTCATCAGCCATTTTTAATGTTTGAGGGTGTCTTGGTAAGTTGCCCTGGCTGGCCTCCAACTTGTGATCTTCCTGACTCAGCCTCCCAAGTAAGTGGGATTACAGGTGTGTGCCACTTTCCCTAACTAGAAAAATCTTGGAAGTTGTGAGAACTAACACCTGTAGAAAAAACCAATTTAAATGACATAGGATTTCTCGTGAGAAACCATGGAGGCCAGAAGGAAGTGGGGAAAGAAAACACCTGTCAACCCAGGATACAGGAAAATAGCTTCTGAGAACAAAGTGAAAACCAAGACATGTCAAGTGAAGGAAAAGTAAGAAAATCTGTCACAGCAACCCTACCTAAGAGAAAAGTTGGAGGAAGGTCTTTAAACAAAAAAAATGAAAGAAGGAAACTTATTACATCAAAAGAAAAAGACCATGGTGAGGAAAACTATAAATAAATACAATAGACTTTCCTTCTCTTGAATTTTCTGAATTATGGTTGATAGTTGAAGCAAACATTGTAACACTATGTGGTGTGGTTCTCAATATATGTAGAGGAAATATTTTAAACAAATAGAAAAGTGGGAGAGAAGAGAGGCAAAGTTTCTTTTTTTAAATTCTTGTATTGGTACATTTTAGGTATACAATACATTTACATTTATCATTGGGTGCTTGTACCTGTACATGATGTATCTTAGTTCTTATTTTTTCCCGCATTACCTGTTCACCCTTCACCCCCTCCACCCTTCCCTATTTGCATAGACTTCTTTTCCATTTTTTTTTTCTTTTCTCATGATTTTTCCTTTCCATTCTTTCCTTTCCCCTTCCCCTCCCACCACCACTATACCTTTGGACCTTTTCCTATTTCAAATTATCAATTATTCATTTTAATCATTTTAATCCTCATTTACACTTTCAGTTTCTCTCACTAGAGTAACTGTTCAGTATTTACACGTGTGTCCTATTTATTTCACTTAACAGGATGGCCTCAATATGCACCCATTTAGCTATACAGAATATTGCTGGATTTTGCTTCTTAATCCATTCTGCCAGTCTGTTTCTTTTGATTGGTGAATTAAGGCCATTAACATTGATAATTATAATTGATAGATATTGACTCATCCTTGTCATGATGTTTTACTGTTGTTGGCTCTTTTATTTCTTATTTTTTTCCCCCTTTCCCTTTAGTGTCTTACCTTGCCTGGTGGCTTCCCTCTCTTGGGCCTCATGGAGTTGTGGACCTTCATTGTGTTTTTCTAGGATATTGCTTAAAATTGTTTGGAGTACTGGTTTGGTGTTCATGAAATTTCTCAGGTGTTCTTTGTCGTGGAAGTATCTAATTTCCCTATTGATTTTGAAAGATAATTTTGCAGGATACAACAGTCTAGGTTGGAAGTTATTTCCTTTTAGGGCTTGAAATACTTCACTCCAGGCTCTCCTT